GGGGGGGCGGGCGTCGTGTTTCCATACAATTTCTCGTTTTCCCAATTCCACTCGTGTTGATATAACTGTATATCAACACGGAAAATGTTTTATATTTGTTAAGAATAAAGCAATTACCTGGTGATGCACCGCAATCAACCTGGATAAAAAATAAATTGGAGTCCTTTAATAACCATGCAGGGGCCATAGCAAAGGGGCGTCCGGGGGTGCCTTACTCTCTCCAATGTTGTCTGTCGGCACAATTTAGTGGAACATGAAATACCTGTACAATTCCAAAATCTAATCACACTGTGGGCTAGCTGGTTTGGAATCAAGGTGAACTGCCACCACTTTAGTGAAAATATAGTGTAAATTGAACATGATTTTGATTGTCCTTAAGTTGTTTAGAACAGTTACAATATTGATACAACATGTAAATATAAAACATTCTTGATAGATTTATAAAAAAATTGGGTTGTTCTCTTAAATCACACCCGTCACGCCTACTGTATCGGCAAAGGTGAGGCGTGCACACCCCCCCCCAATAGCCTTCGCTATGCCCGGCATGTAACTGATGACATTCTTGACATAACTTAGATGTGTATACGGTAAGTATTCCAGGGGGGGGGGGGGGTGTTAAAATTTCAAAACTGACAGAGACCAGAGCTAATAGTCCAGTAGCGGCACAAGCGGGTCCAGTAGAAATCAAGTTTATAGTTTAGTTTTCCTCATTGCTGGACCACTAAGGAGAATTTCTACGAATATGTAACCAACCTTGGCTTGCCTCCTAAGCCATCTAGTCGAGCTATCTGATTTTCCTTTCATAGAATTTGTTTTGGACGATATCACGAGGTCACTAAGATGTAATTTTTTACTCGATTGTTTCACAATTTCCAATTCTCGCAAACGTAATCGCGAAAGCCTGTTACTTGCAGAATAAAAGTACATTATGAAAAACCTATAAAATTTTAAAGAAACATAATTTATTGTACAAAAAAGTCGACCTTTTTACTATACAATTTTACTGTTTATCAGCAAGTATATTTCACTTCCGGTTATCGCCGGAAGTACATGTTGCAAAATCAGTCTCAGCCAATAGGAATGCGTTCTCCGCCTACGCAAGGAAGCTGCCAAAAAAAAATTTGGGTGAAATTTTGCGCGAATTAATATTTTTATTATTTTTTCAAGCAGAAACTTTTTACTATTTTTATACAAAAGCACCATAAAGCAAAAATATAGGTACCAAAGTATCACGCAATTTTTTTTTGGTAAAAATTGGGGTGATAAAACTAGGGAAAAATCGCTTGCAATTTTGGCCCGCCAAGCGCGACAGCGACCAGCAGACTTCGTCTTTATTCAAAAGTCGTTTCGCGCGGCACGACAGGACGAAGCCAGTGTTAGTCAATGGTTCTTTCACTTTTGTCGAATAAATTCAAGACTTTCTCTGGGTATTTTTGGATGAAAAAACCACTCATTTATACTGGGATTTCTGTAATATTTTGGTGAACTGTAAACTAGCGTACATATGACAGGCTAGCCACGAATTTTGCCGGGAGTTTTTAAAAGTTTTTGAAAGCTGTGCTCGGCAAAGCTAGATGCCACTTCTAAACAGAAAAGCATTTCGTACGGACCCACCGCCCTCGGATTTGAAAGACGACGAGGAATTATTCGTCTGCAGGCAGACGAACGAAGTCTATCGCACCTACGAGTGAGTATATTTTTGTTGTGATTTAAAACACATTTTGTACACCCATGTATGCCCGTGTGCACCCTCGTGCTTCGAGATTGAGCAATGGCTTTTCGTCTTTACGCGTATAGGGCCTTCTTCAAACGGACAATCCTTTGCAATAGTTTGGTTTGGAGCTGTGAAATTACATTAAAAGACGGCCTCACGTACGAAGAGGCCGCCGACTCGGAGCAAGATGCGAGAGAAAAGGTTGATCGAGTACCACAACCCATCAAACAAGGTGTCCTCACTCTAGTTCATTACACTCGACATAGCCGGTTGGATAATTTATGCGACGATGTTTTCAACTATATCCGAGATCGCTACCAAGAAGGCGAAGAAATTGAAGTGAAACATAAAGGAGAGAAGTATGTTTGCAATAATAACCATGTATACTATTGACCACATTTTCTGGGACTTGTTTATAGAATGTGGGGGTTTTGGGGCAAGTTGGAGAGAGATGGTTCAAATGTGATTTCCCAGATAGGATTCCAAAATGGCGGTGTGTGATTGATATATTTGACGTTTATAACGTGTTTGCAAAGTTTTTCTAAAAGAAAATGATTTTATTGTATTTTTTTTCTATGTTGGGTTGGGAGGGGCTGACCCAATTCTAATTCCTAATTTTGTTGTTTTTTACTTTTTACTTCTTTCTCTCGAAATGCATCTTTTGGTGGCGGCCATGTTGTATGCCTTGAACAGAATGCAAAATGGCTGCCATTACTTGAATTGAATAATTTTTCATTGTTGATAACATGCCGTTGAAGAATGTAATTTTGAACGCAAGCCAAAAATAACGATTGTTAATTATCGTGATGTACATTTTGATTGAAAATGCACATTTTTGTTAGTTTTTCTTTCATGTATGGAAATTTTGAACAAAACATATGCATATTTATTGTCGATTTCAAGTCACTTTTCAACGCGCGGTTTCCATCCCAACTTTGTTGCGAACTTGCCAATTTACGTTTCCAAGTTCGGAAATTGGACACTGAAGCTTTGCAACAAAGTTTGCAACTTCATTTCGATTTTTGAACTTCGTTTGTAAACAAATGTTCATACTCAATAATAATAACCAATTCAATGAAATACAAACCTTCTTGGTAGCCCACTGAATCAAGAACTTTCCATTGAATTGTTAATTTCAACTTGAACTATGAACATTTGTTTACATTATAGTTCAAACGTTGAAATGTACTTGCGAACTTTGTTGCGATGTACATGCCCAATTTTTGAACGTGGAAATTACGTAATTAGCAAGTTTGCAACTAACTTGGGAACCGCATGTTCAAAAGTGACTTAGGGGCTCTGAGTCTAAATATGCTCCCCACCCCCCTCCAAATTTTGAAAGAGTAGAAAAGCTCCTCCAGAGATATGAGGTTTACCTATATTATATATACTCAAATAATATTTAAATATCCCTGTTATTTATGATTATTATTTATAATTAAAATTATTTATAATTAGTATAATTACATAGGTGATTATTGAAAATTCTCCACGCTGATTGGTTGCCGTCAAGGCGATTATAACGCCATAATCACCTAAGCAATTTTCAAAATGGCGGCCGAAGCCGTTTTGTCAACTAAATGACGAAGAAATGTGTATTTTTTATTTTTTTCCAAATAATCGCCTATGAAATTATACTAAAAACAATTATTATTCACCTCGGGCTCCGTGATTATCGTGACTAAAAACCTTGACTTTGTCTCACTGATAATCACCTCGGCTTTGGCGAATAATTGTTAATATTATTTATAATTAATATTTAAATACCCCTGTTATGTGGCTTGAAAAAGTTGTTGCAATGCCGAGGTTTCCACGTGTCAACTTTTCCGTAGTATCTAATTTTTAGAAATTTTCTTAGTATCCAGTCAGGATACAAGTTATTCACAGTTTGGTATCCAAAACCAAATTTTTGGTATCCTGTGAATATCGGGATACTGCAAATTTCAGATCCTGAAAAATGTTTTAGAAAAATATTTTAGAATGGTTTTGATCATGGGAAATAATACTATTCCCAGCAATAGAAACACCAGGCGGAAATCAAATTATAGTTCAAAATATTATTGCCCAGCAAATAATTCGTAAAAGAAGCATATTCAAAAAACATTTGGTACCGTATATAAAAAAATATTTATGGAGTAACGTTTTGTCACATTACAAGTGACATCATCAGACTAAATACAGTTAAGCTATTTCATCTATTTTATAACAAATTTTGAAAAAAAAATATATGATATACAATTACAAATGGTTAAAAAGTTAAAATTAGAAATATAAAATGAAATAGATGAAAAGAAAGATAAAAATAGATGAAATAGCTTAACTGTATTTAGTCTGATGATGTCGCTTGTAATATGACAAAACGTTACTCAATAAATATTTTTTAATATATACCAAATGTTTTTTGAATATATACCAAATGTTTTTTGAATATGCCTCTTTTACGAATTATTTGCTGGGCAATAATATTTTTTTAACTATAATACTATTCCCATTTGGAAAACCCATCAATTACCATTAATGGTCTTTCATTTTTTTAAAATGCTATTATGGGTTTTATTGACAGTTTTCAATATAATTTGAGTGGTTTTAATGGCAAAGAATAAACCATTTAATGGATTATACTAAGTTTATTTTTTTCACATTAATGTTATTGAATTTTTAAACGGGAATTATCAATGTACCATTATAGAAATTACTTTTTCCATTCGTGCGTTTTTAAATTTTTTCCCTGTGATTTTAGATTAGTTGGCTATATCCACAATGTCATTGAGCCCAAGGTCTCAACAAACGGCTTCGACTCCCCCAAATCGAAGACCAAACTGAAATCACCCTCAGGGAAATCTGGCAAAGCCAGCAAATCTCCCAGCAAAACTCCCAGCAAGATGGATGTGGACGTTATTGTTTTGAGTGATGAAGAAAATAAAGGCGAACGATCAGAAGTAAAAAGTCCAACTACTTCAAAAAAGAATTCGGCCTGGCCTGATGCAAAGAGTTACGAGTACATGGTAAAATTAAAACGCAAAAAAAATACTCCGTCCAAAACACCAGAGATTATTACAGTGAAACAATCTTGCATCAGGTAGGTTCAAATCTATGTAGTGATTGACTAATTACTGATTATTTATCCCACAATCTACCCGATACTGGTTTTATAATGGCATCATAATATCAGTCAACCAAGTAAAGGTGACGTTATTCATGTTGATTTTTTAATTAATGATCAATTGAAGTATACGACCCCCGTAAATTAGTTCACTAAAGAATTGCGTCGTTCTTTGACAATTAAACCCTATTTTATTTACTAAAGACACTTTTAATTCATGAACTAGATCATTCATGAGCAAAAATAAGAAGAACGAGACAGTTCTTTGGAGAAGTAGCTTATGGGGGGGGGGGTCACATACTTCAGTTGATCCTAATTTCCAACATAAAATGTATCACAACCAAAGATCGTTAAAACCATCCATAAATGGCACGCTTCGCGCATTAATTTAACATATTGTGTTAAAATGCAACGTGTATGAACGTGCAATGCATATAATTTTTAAAGTGCGTATTTTCTCAACAATCGGTTTTGGACAATCGGAAATATATATAATTCTACCGATTCCGATTGTCTAAAATTGACTAGATCTATGCTATGTCATGATCTATGTTAATGAAATGTATTCCTGGGGCTGGGCACAAAAATGCTGAATTATTAGCGCCATATCCTCAGGCATAAAAAAAATACCGTCCTATGGTTCCGGTTCCCGACGACCCTATTTTTTCTGCCGACCCTATTATTTCTGCCGACCGATTTCAACCTGATTGACCGTGCGACCCTATTTTCTCCGGCTGGTTATGGGCTGCTGCCAAAATGGCATCTGTTGTCACACTAATTATTGAAAAAACCATAAAAAAATATTCAAAAAAAAATTATTTCCGACCTACCGACCCTAATTTTTTCGCGATATGAAACCGGAACCACAAGTATTTTTTTTACGACTCAGGATAGTGATGTTTTTCGAGCTTTCTACAGTGATAACCAAGGTCTGAAATTTGCAGTATTCCGATATCCACTGGACACTACCTGTAAGATTTGGTTTTGGATACCAAACTGTGAATGACTTATATCTCAACTGGATATTACAAAATTTCAAACATTAGGATAATGCTAAATGTCTCTGGTTGTCTCCAAATAGCTTTGAATACTGTGAGTCTGCCTTCTTCAAATTAACTGTAGCCTTACCTAATTGTACAATATTTGACAAGTATAGATATAATAAATATTTGTTTTACATTGTAGTCGTAAAAAAGGAACCTTCTCTCGTGAGAAACTCAAGTTATTATTAAGACTGACATGCTGTCGGACCGGGCATGGAAATGAACCTGGATACTGGAAAGTTAAAGTTAGTATACTCAACAAGTCTAGACAAAAATTTCATCACAGCTTGAAAGAGCATCACAAAATTAGTAATATTGCAAAGTTTAGTTGCGAAATGTTGTAAAATGCGGAGAATATAGCCTTGCGAAGTTTGCAATTTTCAGTCATTTTGTATTACAAACAGGATAAAATCATTTGATATTGGTCATATACAAAAGTGCCCTTTTTGGCCATTATGCCCCTTCACTTTTTTAATGCTTCCGCTGCCTCTGCCCTCAACAAATTCAGTTAGGATCAATATTACCTTTCCAAATCCAGAAAAGGATTTGTTTAGGAAATAGCCACGCCCGCCCTTGTTTGCCAAGGCTAGGAGGGGCGTACACCTCTAGTAAATCCATCCCTGTTGTTGAATGCATCTACCCTCAAGCCTTGTAGATCACTCCATGGCTCTTTCTGATAGTGTCAACATTCCGTTTCAGGATAAATACCGGAAGATGTTTGATCTGTCAGCGGACGTAGATGATGCAAACATCACTGTCGAGAAAACTTCAAAGAAACGAAAGAGGGAGGGAGGGGATAAGGAGAAAAAGAAGAGAATAAAGAAGACAGATGAGAAGAAGGCTGCTGGTTCAGCACAAACAAAGAAAGATAAAACGGTTAGATTGAAATTATTAAGAGGCAATTTTTTTTGATGTCACATATTTTTTATGAAACTTGTTCAAAACCTAAAATCTTTTTGCTGTTCCTCTCAAAATTACTTTGTTTTAGCTTTATTTTGTAGTTTACACAGTTACCAACCTTAGTTTACTGTCGTTCCAATTGAAGTGTTGCTCAAATATTGATTCAATACATTACCTCGGGCTGACCAATTCATTTGATCAAGTTCCTCGAGATATTCATACACTTCCTGTGAAAGAGCCAATTCCAAGTATTTGATCATTTCTGGTCACTTCCTTTCTATTTATGATTGGTTAGTTGCACAAACAACAAAGGTGATTGGTGCATTCAAACTATTCAACAGGAAGTTTACAATTATACTAGGAAGTGTATGAATATCTCAAGGAACTTGATGAAATGAATTGGTCAGCCCATGGTTAATAGAATTCTATTAACCGTGGTCAGCCCGAGGTAATGTATTGAATCAATATTTGAGCAACACTTCAATTGGAACGACAGTAAAAACACAAAATAATAGTTAAATATTGTCAATTTAACCCATTAAGTGCCAGCGCTCTCCCCTTGACGAGTTAAATCGTCTGGTGTTAGACAGAGTAAAATACTAAAGTAGGGTGCATCAGGGTGCAATGGAACTCAATGGGTTAAATACAATAATCATCATTGATGCTGTAAAATTGACGTCATATTTATACACCATTATAAGCAAAACTTGCTGAACTTCAGACATCATTTTCTCTTTGGCGTACCATCTAAAATCTCATCATTTTAGCATTATTTTACAGATAAAGCACTAAACATACTTTTTGAGTTTGTTTGCCGCTTGTGAAACGTATCAAAAATAAAAAAAAATTGAACATAGTCATAACCAAGCAGAAAAGTATATTCTTTAGTTTTGAGCTTAGCAGGGTGTTCACGGGCCTTGAAAATCCTGGAAAGTCCTTGAATTGGAAAAAAAATACCAGGACTGGAAAGTCCTTGAAAATCAGTAGAAGTCCTTGAAAGTCCTGGAATTAATTTCCTTAACCTCCAGCTGTGCCAACATATTAAATTAGTGATTTTGATTAAAATTACTGAATAAAGTGAATTATTTTCAAAGATTTTTCCCAGTAGAGGTCCTTGAATTTACTGTAAAGAGGTCTTGGAAGTCCTGGAAAAGTCCTCGAATTTCACCTTCACCAAAGGATGGTCCTGGGCCTTAGTTTCCTAGTAAATTAACCCAATGATGTTAGACAGAGTAAAATAATTATAACGTAACATGCATTAGGGTGCAACAAGATCGACCCCAAGCAGTTTGGATGCTTGAAAGGAACATCCACAACCTATTGTCTTTTAGACATGATCCACACTTGGTTGTGCAACTTAGAGTGTCCTGAAAAACATCTTAGACTTTGTTTCCTTGACTTCGAAAAGGCGTTTGACCGTATAGGACATAATTTACTAATATTAAAGCTGTTGGACCTAGGTGTTAGATCGTCCCTGTTGCCTTGGATTATCAACTTCTTAACTAACCGCCGTCATCGGGTCAAACTTGGAGGAAAAACGTCAGACTGGTTGCCAATGAATGCGGGTGTCCCCCAGGGAACTAAACTCGGTCCAATTCTGTTTTTGGCGATGATAAATGATCTCGATGTGAAACCACACGCAACGGATATTTGGAAATTTGTGGATAACATATCAACATCTGAAAATATCACAAAGGGCAGCAACTCAAAGTTTCAGTTCTGTATTGATACTATAAATTCTTGGGCTTCGTGCAACCTTATGAAACTTAACTCCAAAAAGTGCAAAGAACTACGCGTTTGCTTTCTGAGGGAATCACCTGATCTATCACCATTGTTGATCGACGGTCATGCGCTTGAGGTTGTGCGGTCTCATAAAGTCCTAGGTCTGGTTATCCAAAACGATCTTAAATGGAATGCACACATAGAATCAGTTGTATCCAAGGCTTCTAAACGTTTATATATCATCCGCATATTACGACGAGGTGGTGTCCCTGCGGAAGACTTATTGAGTATATACTTTGCCTTAATACGATCGGTTCTGGAGTACTGTTGTGTGGTATGGCATCATGCCCTACCTTTGTACCTCGCCGATGATTTAGAGCGAGTGCAAAAACGAGCGCTGAGGATTATTTTACCGGGTTACTCTTATAGGGAAGCATTAGCACAACTTGGGTGTTCCAGATTGGATGAAAGGCGAGAACGACATTGCCTCAATACTATGAAACGCATAGAAATTGAAGGACCACTGTCAAAATATGTTCCACTGTCTAGGGCTAGTTCAAATGATTATGAACTTAGAAACTCTAACACATTAACAACAATAAAATGCCGAACAGAAAGATATCGCCGTAGCTTTTTTCCCAGTACAGTAGCTCTATATAATAGTTATAGTAAAGAAACTTAAGCGTGATACTTAATTACGATGATTTTAATGCAATTCAATAAGATTTTTAGACTTGATGCATGCAACTAAATTTTTATATATGTAAATATATAGCGTACCAATTTTGTAAACGCACCATAATTCAATCTATTGCGAAGGTGTGTATCTTAAACCATTAATAATAATAATAATAATAAATCTTGTCTAGTTTGAAATAGTTCCTCATACTTTTCAAATGTTTTTTCAGGATGACAAGCCAAAAGTGGAGAAGGCGAAAGTTGAGAAACCAAAGTTGACTCCAGAAGAAATTGAAAGAATAAAGGAAGAATTCAGGTTGAAACGAGAAAAAGAAAAAGAATTAAGGAAACAAGAAAGAGATAAGGTGACATTTAGTTTCTGTTAATGCAATAATGGAGGTTTTGACAGTTGAAAAACAATTCCTAAATAGAATTGCTGTACTGTATATAAAAATGCTGCCATGGTTTGTGTCTGAACCACATGGAAAGGAACTAAACACTTAATTGTCCAATCAATCTTTGATTTTAAGTTAAGAAGAAAATATAGAATTGCTGTATTGGGTCGTTCCAGAAACGATCCACACTCTTCCCAAGGAGGAAAATTCTGCTGTCTGGAGGGGGAGGGGAGAAAAACGTGTTTCTGATAATAATAAGTGTGTTATGTAGGACATCTGAAGGAGGTAGGGGGTGTTCACCTTTTAATTTCCTCTCTGGGGAATGGTATGATGTTTTCTTGAATGACCCATTGAATAAAAACCTGCTATGATATGTGCATGTCAGGACTCCATGGCAATAGATCCATTGCACTGACGTCACAAATCCTTAGAGTGTCCTCCAGATGCTCCCTAACAATATCTTTTCGGATACAACAACCACATACAGCGCAAAAGTTAACCATTTTAATACAAAAGTATTATAAAGTTTTACAAAAGTTATATTATGTATAGATTGTTAATTTGTCCTCCAGATGCATCGTCACCGGCGCTGTGACGTCATGTGCAATAGGTCTATAGAATAGACCTTTCCCTTTTAAGTGAAATTTTGATCTAGACAAGTCTGGACAAAAATTTCATCACAGCTTGAAAGAGCATCACAAAATTAGTAATATTCGAAAGTTTCGTTGCGAAATGTTGTAAAATGCGGATAATATAGCCTTGCGAAGTTTGCCGTTTTTCAGTCATTTTGCATTACAAACGGGAAATTGATAATCAGATGATCAAACTGATTATCAATTTCCCGTTTTTAATGCAAAATGACTGAAAAACGGCAAACTTCGCAAGGCTATATTATCCGCATTTTACAACATTTTGCAACGAAACTTCGGAATATTACTAATTTTGTGATGCTCTTTCAAGCTGTGATGAAATTTTTGTCCAGACTTGTCTGGATCAAAATTTCATTCAGAAGGGGAAAGGTCTATTACCATTCATTATTCGATCATGTCTTCTGTTATTTAGCTTGCGACATCAGATGGCAACGAAGGCGGACCGCAGTATTTCAGACTACATCAACTGGAAGATGAAACTCGTTTTGTTGATGTTTGTGAATTGGATAACTGCAAGAGGTTTCGTATTCTACAGCTCAGAAACCAACAGGTAGATTTTCTACATTTTCTATAAAAAATCATGGTTAATATGGAATGCCAGAGAACTCCAAGGAGTTCCATAATCGTCTTTCAACTGATGTTGCAACTTAGGACATGATTGATGAACGATTGAAGCCTATATTCAGGTTGCTGTTCAGTGATTGGTTTACTACATAGAAAAAACAATACGTTTCCTCGCGTTGAAAGAGCACAAATTTCTGTGGATGTGAACATAAATAGAACAGACATTTTTCGACCTTGCAAACCATGTCAGACTCGGGGTTTTTTCCCAGACAAATCTTACAAATGAGTATAATTTGTTTATCGTTTAAGGTTCCTGAGTTTCGAAATTTCAAGGCAGTTCCTACTCGTGATAAAGACATTCCTGATAATGTCTTCCAGGTATGTAGCCTACATTGTTTTAAGAAAAGTTTCTGTTTAATTTATTTAATATTCGTTTAATATTCGGATTCGGAATCAAAGTGACATCAAGTCAAATAAAGATTAAAAATAAAAATTGTAAATCTGCTATATACTCAGAATTTCACGTTGGTATGATCTTCAGGCAGTGTATCTTAGATTCATTAAATACTAGTTAAAACATGAGCAGCCGAGTTTGTATATCAGATAAAGATCGGATGCGAATGTGTTATCGTGCTTAAAAAACGATCCATCTTATGAGTTCATTGGCGAAGTAATTTTAAAAATAAATATTGTCTAAGCCGAGAAAATCAAAGCTGAAGTTTATGTAAATCAGGACAAATCTTTATCCGATTTACAAACATGAGTTTTTAGGAGTTCTTATTTGTAGTTGGCTGTAAATTATGAAGTGTTCCGGTTATTTACATTCCATTTATTATACACATTCTAGTTAATTACATTTAATATTACATTTGGAATAAGAGTATATCATCTACTTTAAAAAGAACTTAAGGGTATTGAAGTACATTAATATTTGTTGATTAATTTTCGAAGGCGTATGAGAAGAGGATAGATGGGATAGATGAGGATGAGGCTGAGGATGATTTCGAAGTACATCGTGCAGCAGTCACGAAATTTCTTAACAAGGTTAGCTCACCAATCTTTTAATCATCTGCTGCAGTGTTGGGGACACAGTGGTTAATGTATGTGTCTTTCATCTCCGTGACTGGGCTTCGATACTTCACTTTCTACAATATGCATGCACTATCAGTTGTGTGATCATACAGTAGTTTCACCTCATGCAGTCGTGTGTGGGAAGCGTGTGTCCAGTTTGACTTTACCAAACACCGCAGGCTTTCTCCAAGTACTTCGGTTTCCTTCTGTAGTAACACTGGATCAATAATGGAAGAATTCAGCTATCATCCCACTCCTGTAATCAATTTCTTACTTATTTCCGTTTTACCTATACCCTACCCAGCTTTTGGCTACCGAAATCAGCGACCCTGATCTTTTTATCTGAATTGGAGAAATGTTTTGCACCCATTTCGTGGCGTTAGTTTTGTACAAGCTAGTGACTAAGCTATATAAAGAGTATAACCTGTTTGTTTCAAAGATTATGGAACATTTACAAATGTTTGTGCCATCTGTGCTGCCGTAATTGACGAAGAGTGTCATTCTTATTCATGAGCATTTATAACAAAAAAAACAGGTATTTTTCCCTAGTCATTGCTTTGATTGATTTATTTGTTTCATTTATCTTATATATATATATATAGGTCCGTCATCAAGTGATGGCCCGGTCGTTGATAGCAAAAAGACAGCGAGATTTACGAGACATGGTGATCGAGGATGAAGTTCCAGATGTGGGGTAAGAAACAGCTGAAACACAGTAAGAATACTTGTTTGAGTACTTTTGGCTATTCAGTTCGTTTCAATCCATTTGTACTTCTTTGTTTATAGTTCTTTAGGATTTCGTATTGCACAATTGCTCGCGCCAAGACGACCACTCAAGCCTGTGCGACGCGAGAGAAAAACTATCGGTGCTCAGGTGAGCTTGGCATAATGGGTGATTCCAGCTGTAGACTAAATTTTGATCAAAGCAAGAAGAACGAAATCCAACACCACAGCTAGAAAGAGCATCTTAGAATGAGTAAAATTGTGAAGTTTGGTTGCGAAATGTTGTAAAATGCGGAAAGTATAGCCCTGTGAAATTTGCAAATTTTGTATTATTTTGTATTACGCACGGGAAAATGCACCACCTCGGATCACTAATTTTAAGATGCTCCATCTAGCTGTGGTGATGGATTTCGTTCTTCTTGCCTTGATCAAAATTTAGTCTATAGCTGGAATCACAGAATAAAGATTAGTAACATGGCCACTCAGCGGTGCAACGTGTCCTCGTTTTTTTTATGCAAAACTATGCAGTTTACTGGCCAGAAGGCGGAGCAGCCAGCCAGGACAGCGTGTTTATTGGCCAGAAAATGTCATTGACTGTCTGACTGGCTAGGAAAATGACGGCCAACATGCGTAATGCGACATGCGCGAGGACAGAAACTTCAAAGCTTCCGACGTAAGTGGCCCTTCTATATGGATCTTTATTCTATGGCTAGAATCATCCATTGGAGAAATTCAAACCTCAAAAACTTGGTTTCCTGAATTTTACTCCCGATGTACTGTAGCCTTTTATATCTATTTTTCAATCTTTTGTATAGAATTTATCGGTCACAAGTGTTCGTATTCTTGTCAATGTCGTGCGAGCTTTTGATATTCCTGTGAGAATAGTTCAGCCTCAAACCGCGTAAGTGATATTTGAAATGTAAACCCAAGAGCTTGATCGATTTCAGCCAAAAGCCCAAAACTCTATTCATGCCGACTTGCTGTAAAACGGTTTCTAAAATAAAAAACTTTTTTGTTTTTCTTATTTTAGTTCCCAAGCCTTGGATCCAAGGAGTACAACGCGACTAACAGAAGCTAGTACTGCTGCGTCATCAATGTTTACGACATCCAGTATGCACGGCGGGAATGCACCTCAAAACAGACCTGTTGGAGCTAGAACCAACCCGCTTGGGGAGGTAGGGTGACTTCTCTTTTGATGCAAAATTTTGATGGCAATTATTGCTGACTTTTCCTAAGCACTATCGTAAGCACTGCAGTCATCAACCTGAGTGAGAAAACAATGCTAATTTTTTTGGTCCTGACAGGGTGGGTTGGGTAATGTCCCAAACTGACCCTTTCACCGTAGCTGTGCTCCGTGATAAGACACGAGTCATAACGTGGCTGCCAGAGGCGCCCTTAGAAGGCTTAGAAGGCCTTCGACTCGATCAGCTTGAAGGCCGTACAGTGTAATTCAACTTAGCTTTCAACGATGATTGACACACACCCACTTACTACTACATTACTACATTCATTACTACATCCATTACTTCAGTAGTCTTCTGGTGGTAAATCAATGGAATTCGAGAGATGTAGTTTAACTTGATTGACACTAAAGGCCCATCTCCAGTCAGGAAAATTTTCCGCAGAAAGAAAATTTTGTAAAATGTGATTGGCCGACACAAATTTTCCGTCGGAAAAAAATTTGAAGTTGAAAAAAATTCAACTTTTAACAATGTTTTTCTGGGAAAATTTTCTGTCCGTGGAAAAGCGTGTTGTACAAGCCTGGACACCGAAAAGCATGTTGCTCAAGCCTGGTTTTCTGACATAATTTTGGGTTTTTTAAATAACTGTAATAACGTGCTTCTTAATAACCTGCATGATTACCAGAGTGTAAATTTTTGTTGTTTAGCCAATGGTTCGACCTTTTGTTGAAGTGGTCTTTCAAGGGAATTTCATCAGAACAACCGTTGCAGATGGTCCAAACCCAAGTTGGAACGAAGAACTAACGTTACCATTCGTGTAAGCATTTATATAATGCGTCTTTATTTATAATGGATAGTTCTAAAAATTCGTAGAACTCCAATATGGGCTATTGCTAGCCCGAGTATCAGGCCCTCGAGTTGAGTCAAACTGGAAGGCAGCACTCTTCTCACATGCGGTAAAATTGTAATCTGTATAGAAGGGTTTTGTGTATAGAAATTTACAAAACCCTTCTACAGATTACAAGGATTACATTTTACAAAACCTTTCTAGGCTTCTACGGATTACAATTATCAACTGTAGAAGGGTTTTGGGTATGGAAATTTTCGATTGTGAATTTTAAACATTTGTTATAGATCTAACCAGGAGCAGTTGCAAAAAATACAACTATAGGCCCTCGAATATAGGCCCAGGAATCGAACCTGCGGACCTGCGATTCCGATGCAGCGCTCTAACCAACTGAGCTACAGAGGCCAGTTGTCGAGCTCTAACCACAAGTTCGTGTATAAATACTAAGGGATGCCAGGAGTCGAACCTCTCTGACATGCAGAGGGAAAAGGCACATGTTCTACTAATAGCTTTGTTGTGTTCCAGGCCTCCCAATGATGACTATTCCCCTAGCAATCTTCAAACAGTGAATGACGTCATTTATCTCAATGTCTTTGATGAAGTCGTCGTCGATATTTTGGAGGTATGATACTTTTATGTACTCAGGTGAATATATTTGTTATGTTACCCACACCGGGTAAGTATGATGTTACTCTGAGTGTGCATTCCCACCGTGGTCAGGCAAACTTTTCAGCTTGCCTGGTGTGGATGCACATTCAGATTAACATCACAAACATCATTTTGGAGGTAATTATACATCAAATTACACTATGAACTATTTCTCCCTAGGATGAACAGCAGCGTGCCACAAACATCCATCAACGTTTAGAAAGACATTGGCTTGGCAGTATTGAACTGCCGTTCTCCACTGTTTATTTCAATACGAAGGTTTGTTCATTTTACCTCTTTGGTTTGAAATCTAGCTTCCATTCAGGTTTATGAACATGGCAATATAGTATCGAATGATATATCTCTACAATCAGTTGAGACTGATTTCCATACAGAATACTCTAGACCAGTTAGATCCAGACTATTTCACATTAGTGACCATGACTTAGGCACGACAGCTCCAGGCTTAATAATTGATCCCAGTATTTTCATATTTCTCTACAGGTTGATGGTACATTCAAGATCAGTGCACCAGCAGTACTTCTGGGTTACCAACACAATCAGCCTCGAACTCATGGTGCACCTGATATTGGTATCGGTGCACGTGATCAGACATTCTTAACGTTGTTTGTGACCATAGAACCACCATTACAGCCATCACAACCACTGTCTGAAAAGGTAGCGTACGTCATATATACAACATTCAACCCTGTTGTATCGGATGTGCAAACTCTCGTAGAATGTCATTAGAGAAGGAAACTGTAATACCTGGACAAAACAAAATTATAATCAGATTGCATTGTCTTTTTTAAGTTTGAAACTTCTGAAGATGAAACATTGATACACAGTGCTTACATTTGGCAAGAGGAATTAAAAAAGAAGTTTCCAAAACGGGAATTTAAGGTGAGTTAATGTTTTGGGGGATTTTTTGTGCAAGTATCTTCTAATATTCGCTCCCTGTAATTTAGATACATGTATGTATCAAAGTATTTTCTCTTGTCAGGTTCTTGCAACGGATCTGAATGGTAAGAAAGTATTCTTGACAAGATACATCAGAGAACAAAATCTTCCTCCGGACTTTGGGTTTGATCCTACTAACCCTCCTCCTAACGCTATGGTGAGTCTGTTGCGGACCCCAAATATGATTTTTTGCATGTGTATATTTCATATTTGGGTCATTCGAAGAAGAAATGTAATATATCTTTATAATAAAAAATTCCATCTTGATCAACTTTTTCACTGTCAAAGTTTCCGGATATGATGTCATTAGGTGAATTGCAAATTAGTTTTCCTTTAATAAGTTCTTTGTACGTTTGCATGGCAATAAAACATATAATAGTTTTGTTTGTGGAACACCACGTAAATTTATTACTGCAAAGCTTTCGATCCGTGAGCCCGGATCTTCATCAATGCTAATAATATGTGACTTGTTCAATTCACGCGCCCTTTTTATATACAAAAGTGTCGTGATCTGTTGGCTCGCGTCATCATGCATGTTAGATCGAAAGCTTTGCAGTAATAAATTTATGTGGTGTTTCCACAAACAAAACTATTATAGTTTTCCTTTGTTTTTTGTACCAAAAATTCACCTAATGACTTTATATCTGGAAACTTTGACAGTGAAAAAGTTGACCAAGATAAGGTTTTTTACTATTAATGTATATTACATTTCGTATATATTACATTTCACATATATTACATTTAGGATGTCGCCTGTCGCTATGTGTCTATGATTCCTTACATCTCAGATTCTGTGGCATTTCCAGATCTCTGCGATTTGTGGAGTACGTCTGATGTAAGTAACTGACGTTTACGTCTGACGTAAACGTCTGTGTATAAGCGCATTAGATCATACAGTATATCAGTGTTATTTTGCGCTATATAAATATTAAAATTATATAAAAATTAATTTGTCCTATAGTTTTAGTATTGTTAAAAAAAATAGTAGTCTGCAAATATTTATTCAGAAGACTATTGAATATTAATTTATGTTCTTTTATTTAGCAATTTCTCCAGATGTTAGCTGGTGACGAGGAGGAGCATGCTGTATTATTGTGTAACTATCTTTTGTGGCTTGGCAAAAAATCTTGGCTCGTCATTGGAACAGGAATACCAGAGGGTAAAAGATATTTACATGCTGCAACTTGTCATCCAATATCTCTGACACAGAGTTATTTAATTACTGGTCAATTTTTATGTAAAGGTTGTTCCAAAAAGTCCGATACAGTCATGATATAGCAATATTGTTACAACCTTGTGTGATCAACCTTGTAACATTCATGTTATATGATGCCTGTATCAGACTTGTTAGAACAACCTTATAACAAGTCTGAATGCCATCAGGTTACACGTTGTTAACAGCTTGTTCCAAACTTGTTACAACAACTGGGAGCAAGCAGTGCGGACACAAGTTGTCGACAGCTTGTGAACAGATTTTTCAACAACTTGTTTGCAGACCTGTAACAACTTGTGCGTTTTTACGTGTGAACTTGATAAAATAACAGATTGTTACAACTTGTTGACAACCTTGCTACAAGCCTGTTGCGAACGCATCTTATTGACAAGTTGTAAGATTCGTACATGTGTACCCTAAACATTATGGTCCTAACCATATTCGAAATTGTGTCACATGCAAATGTAGCCTGCATGGCAGGCGGTCTAAATCCAGGCTTGCCCGATTTTAGGTACCGCCTGCCATACAGGCTAATGCAAATGTTGCGGCCTCACCGAGGTCCCTGTATTGATTGTGGATCCAGTGTAGGTAGCATTCGACATTCAACCACAGAATAGAGACTATACAGAAGTCCGACTTTTTGGTTTTTCCTTTGATTTTGGCGTAACCGTAATTCCTCATCAAATGCAGACGCCATGGTCCTAGCCAGTACGCTTATGAGAGGCATTCACCCCCCTGATAAAATTCAAAATGATGGATGTCCAGGCGGTGAATATCTGTCATGGCGTTCGCATTTAGATGACGAATCATGCATGTCATGGCAGCGGTTATGCTTTTTTGGCTGGGTCGACCTTCTGTGTGTCTTTATTCTGTGATTAAACTGTCGTGGTAGAGGAAATTGTGATAATTTACTGCTTCGCTTAAAGCGGTTTTTTTTAACTTTTCATGTTCAGATACAAAGCACAGCAGCCAAACTTTATGCATAATATATTTGTTTGCTTGTAAAGGTTCAACGACATACGTATTATCCAGCCAGCAAGGTGTCTATCAATTATGGAACGCTCACACTGGGGAGAAATTTTCTGTTAACGATGCTTACTGTCCGCTACAAAACATCGCTTGTTTAATCAATAGTGAAAATGTGAGTATATTGTAACACCGGACCTCTAGGGAGGATAGAGATATCCAATATAAGTGTGATGCAATTCACTTTAGTTGTGTATTTCCTCCTGCAGTGACATTGTTCCAATAAGTAATCATCTTATAGGGCTGTGCATGCTATCTAGTTTAAATAAAGTTAGGTTAGTGTGGTGGTATTTTTCTGTAGTAACACTGGAACAATAAATAATGGCTCTTACTGGCCCTCTATAAGGAGAACAGTTTAGAACTGATAGAGTTATCCAGTGTAGTATAAATAAAGTTAGTCAGTTTAGGTTTCCTCCTGCAGTAAGACTGGATAAGAGATGATCCTTACTTGACCTCTAGTCCTCCAGGAAGAACAGTTTGAACTGATAGAGCGATTCAGTATAAATAAAGTTAGTTTAGTTTAGGTTTCCTCCTGTAGTAATACTGGAAGTGATGGCTCTTATACTGGACCTCTAAGGAGAACAGTTTAAAAATTAAACAATATAAAACTATCCAGTGAGGATAAAGTTAGGTCATTGTTGGCTTTCTTCTGTGTAACACTGGCCTACTGAAGCTCTGAGAAGAGGAGTTCAGACAAAACTGATTATTAGAACTGATTGAGCTATCCATGGTATAAATAAAATTAGTTAGTTCAGATTTCTTACTGTAGTAACACTGGATAGTTTAGAACTGATTGAGCAAATAAAACTATAGTTAGGCCATTAGGAATTTCTTCAACATTTTATGTGTTCTTTGCACTAGATTTGGGCGAATGTTCAGCAGTCAGGTCAACCATATCGGATGTCGTTTGATCTTACCAAACCTAAACTATGGAGACCATTTTTCACAAGAAAGTATCCAAACCCAGGGTTGAGTAGCGTACAGGTGAGAGGGAGCAAAATGTCTTTGTTAAATATTGCGGTGTTGTGCTTCTTTTTTCTCTACCCTTCGCGTTTGCATGGGACGCATGATGACCAGGAAAATTCCAGCAAGCGGTTAACACGTATACAAATCCCTGTCTGACCAAATGGTGCCGTACGAATTCCCGTCCGTTAACAATGTAAACGTGATATGATATGATAGCAAGCTCAGAAAAGACTTAACTCACATGACGCAAGGATGACGCACATCAATCCATGCTTGGCATCGGAGGTGCAGAAATTATCGCAACCTGGGAACCTAGTTCACAGAATTTTTTTAGGATCTACTTTTTGCAGAAGTTTTCACTGATATTTTTTATGTTAGATAGCTAATTCTGAAATTTAGACTGATCGAATATCAAAATTACTTAACACCTGATTATTTAAATGATTGAATACCTAATTAATCTATACTTTATACTCGATACCTAAATTACTTTTTTATCCAGAAACCACTCCTGAACTACACAAGAACCGATCCACAATACGTTATTGAACTACAGGAAAAGTAAGTGCGACCCTTGACAATCAGTTCTGTGTGCATTCCCAATTTTTTAATTTCGATTCTTGGGTTGATCCGTTCTTTATACTTTCATACCAATTTCAATAATACTTCTCATTTGCCCCAGAATTGAGAGACTGCTTCGAGATAAAATAATGGAATGGAGACCACGTTATGTGACAAGATGGAACAGGTTTGATACTTGAAAGTTATTGAATTGTTAATTTGCGTAAGAGTTATCTCTTATTGATCCAGTGTTACTATGGCAGGAAACCTAAATTAAACTAGCTTTATTTATACTGGATAGCCCTATCAATTCTAAACTGTTCTTCCTAGAGGTCCAGTAAGAGTTATCTCGTATTGGTACAGTGTTATTACAGGAGGAAACCTAAATTAATCTATAACTGCAAACCACTGAGAATGATTCCCCAGCTACGCTTAAACTATTTCTGTAGATTAACAAGTTTCTTCTTTATGCCTTTGCGTTTAGATACTGTAACAGTTGTTACTACAGCAGGAAACCTAAACTAAACTAGCTTTATTTATACTGGATAGCCCTATCAGTTCTAAACTGTTCTTCCCAGAGGTCCAGTAAGAGTCATGTCTTATTGGTACAGTGCTATTGCTCTAAACTGTTCTTCCTATAGAGGTCCAGTAGAGTCATCTCTTATCGGTACAGTGTTATTACAAGAGGAAACCTAAATTAAACTAACTGCAAACCACTGAAGATGACCCACCCCCCTCTACACTTAAACTCTTTTTGTAGATTAACAAGTTTCTTCTTTTACCTTTGCGTTTAGATACTGTTGTCAGTCATTTCGTGATCTATTAGCCAAGTAAGTACAGGGTATATGAGGCAGCGTTTACACTGTACCGTTTTCGTAGCGTTCTCGTATTGTTCTTAATCCTCAAGGGAACGCAAGACAATAGTCTAGTTCTCTCGAACAATACGAGAACGCTACGAAAACGGTACAGTGTAAACGCTGCTTTAATTAATACCTTTGCGAAGGCAGAAAACTTTGAACGCTTTCCTCAAATAATGCCGCGTCCGAAATGCTAAACATTTGAAGAGCGCCGCGGTGCTTTGACGGGCAAATACAGTAACCAGAACTAATTCTTTGTATAGGATAGACAATGATCACGCGTGTTGAGTGAGATATAGACTCTCCAGAATTAGTTGTAGACGTGATTTTTATAAAGGGTCACTAAGGGCGCTTTCCAGTAACACGGCCAGACCGGTCAGAACGGTCAAATTGTTGAATGAAACACAAAACATTTGGGCTTTGGACCTATCTGGCCGGAAAATTTGGATAACATTAGAGTGATGTCCATTTTCGCTAGATATTTGAGAAACATAGACCAAATCTTTCCATTGATACAGAGAAAAGAATTCAGGTCTGACCTGTCAGGCCATTAAATGGAAAGCGCCCTAAGAGACACTCTGTATAGACCCACTGTAATACACCCTTTCGATAATAACGTCATTTGGGCCTGGGAGCCTCGCTCTCATGAATTGTGAGCCAATCACCTTGTATAATTTACTAATGAGAGCGAGGCTCCAAGATAAAAAGGATGCGTGACGTAATTGTCGAAAGGGTGTAGTGCTATATGAGACAGTTCATGGGATATAGAGCATACGAATACTGTATTTTGATTGGCTGAGTGGGTGTGATCATGTTCTAATTGTTGTATTTAGTATGGAACAAACATATCGACAACGGACAGCGCAAGATCACAAAGCAGAGCTGGATCAAATACTTTCTTCGTATAAGGTAATCTTATTTTAAAGAACCATTATTAAAAAGTACTATTGCATGCATGGATCATGCATGTTGATTGCGCAGTGATTAGTGCAGTAGTTGCCTTCATAGTCGTGCGAGACGGGGGGAGGGGCTGCAGCCTCCAGGTTCCACTTAAAAATCGGACAATTTGCTAGGCCTACCCGCCTGGTATAATATAGTTTTTCATTATATTAATCTTGATTAGTAGGAACATCATTAGCAGTGTACGCTAATATATATTATATTGAATATATATTATCTGGGGACCAGAGTGTTCTCAGAATCCTTTGTTTTGTTATATAGCGACGAAACAAATATCAACATTGAACAACATTCATACAACAATATTTGTATTTCATGACAAAAACTCTATAGCGTAAACGAGTTCAAAATTTAAAAAATCTACTTAAATGGTTTCAGCAGCATATCCTGTTGCCTGTTATGTATTTTTCTTCTCTTTTACATTCTTTATTTTAACACAAAGCCACGAAAACAGTAGTTTAAATAGTATAAATTAGTGCCGCCATTTTGTTTATTTATGTACGTAGCCGGTCGGGGCGGGCAACAATTTTTCACTTATTCCCCGGGCGGGATACATTGCATTTATCTAAAGCCACGTGACTACAAATCAGCCAATCACGTTTGGTGTTCACACTAGCTATATAACCATTCGAATTAATTTCTCATTCAATTTTCATCGGAATTTAAGCCAAATTTAATCATTTTCACCTTGGGCAATGTCCAGTAGTCCCTCACATTTTCGTATTAATACAATTGATTTTTTCTGTGTTGGTGTTATGTACTCAGCTGAATATGAGGTTTGCATTGGTATCGAAGGAACTAGACTCAGTTCCGAAATGTTACGTACTCGAACCGACCTGACCGCGTAGCTCAGTTGGCATAGCATTGGGCTATAGTATTCCAAAGGTCGTAGGTTCGATTCCCACCATGGCCAGGCATATTTTTCAAGCTTGCCCGATGTGGATATACACTCAGAGTAACATCACAAACATAATACAATTGATATTTTAAAATTTTTCATGACCTCCTGGCAGACGTAATAAAGATAGTTTAGTTCAGATTTCCTCCTGCAGTAGCACTGGATTTAATACATATAATACTTTTTGTTGTGGAAACACCACGTAAATTTATTACTGCAAAGCTTTCGATCCGTAAGCCCGGATCTTCATCATGCAGTGCTATAATAATATGCTTTAAGCTTTGCAGTAATACATTTACGTGGTGTTTCCACAAACAAAAAGTATTATATGTTTTATCGCCATGCAATCCTACAAAGAACTTAACACTGGATTTATTATGAGGAAGTGAGAAATGGCCTTTACTGTAGACCTCTGTAGTGAACAATCCCGCATAGACAAAACTGAATCACTTTTGTTCAAAGCTAGTTTATTTATTTATTTATTTATTTATTTATTTATTTATTTATTTATTTATTTATTTATTTATTTATTTATTTATTACACAATGTCGTACTAAATGAGTTCTTCAAACAACGAGTTTTAATTAAGCAGTTTATCCAAATAATCCTATGGCTATGAAGCCATTTAAGATAAATTACAGCAAACGAATGAAAGACTATATATAGCAGTCGTATACAAAACGCAAAGTACATCAAGCTAAGAGGAAACCAGCAATAACCATCATCAAGGAAGGAATCAGCGTTTTCGTCATGATACCAGTTGCACTGTTGGTGCCTGGGTTCTTGCCATCGGGGCTGCCCCCGTTGTTGGACGTAATAGTGTTGCAATTATCGGTCTTACAACATTTAGTATCGCAAGACTTAATTGGGGAATTTGGTACTTTGGTTAGGAGGCTACACACCTTGTTTGTACCTGCATCGGGGCACAAGCCTGCAATGCCGCAGCTTCTTGCATAAACCTCTGTGCCGTTTTTGTAGACAAACGTTTGTGAATAACAATATTCAGATGGACAGTTGATTGACTGACACTTTTGTAGCGCTTTTGGCAGCGCTGTCGAGTACGCACAATTATTACATTTCACAGCACTCCCTAAAACAAAAGAAGACAATAATAGATCACTATAGGTGCAAATTGTCTTGCCGGATCTTAGGCACTTACAGGGATGTAGGAACCAATTTATTTGGAGGGAAGGTCTGAGGGCATCCCCCCCCCCTCAGAAAATTTTGAAATCTAGCCATCTGAAACGCCATTTTCAGCCATTTGTTTAAGCAGTTAGTCAGCTAAAGATAGTACTGGATTACACCATTAATTTTACATTTATTTCAACATTCTTTATTCCGAAATACAACTACGTTTGTACTAAAAAACGTTATCAAAATTGTCCTATATCTAGAGGTCCATAAGGGATATCACTTAAGCCCTGATTAAATGAGGATGAGTGTTGATACAGGGGACATTTTAAGCTCTAGATTAATAAAATAAAGGTTTGATAGGTGTTCCAACTATGTTTTAACTTAAATAGAATCCTTGACAGTGTCGGGAAAGCATTAAGAAAACCTAACCGGACCAAGGTTTTCATGCACTGTCATTCTTGTTTTATCCGGGTTATATTGTTCCTATTTTTAATACAGGAGGAAACCTAAACGGCTAAACTTAACTTCATTCATACTGGATAGCTCTATTATTTCTAAACTGTTCTCCCTAGAGGTCCAGTAAGGGTAATCTTTATTGCTCCAATGTTACTGCAAGAAGGAAACCTAAACTAAACTAAGCTAAATTATATAATTTTACTTATAGTGGATGACTCTTTCAGTTCTAAACTGTTCTCCCTATAGAAGTCCAGTAAGACTCATTCCCTATTGATCCTGTGTTATACTGCAGGAGGAAACCTAAACAACTAAACTAAACTATAACTTTGTTTATCCTGAATGACGCTTTCAGTTCTAAACTGTTCTCCCTATAGAGATCCATGTATGCAAGTAAGACTCATTCCCTATTGATCCAGTGTTACTACAGTCTACAGGAGGAAACCTAAACCACTAAACTAAACTATAACTTTATTTATACTGGATGACTCTTTCAGTTCTAAAATGTTTTCCCTAGAGATCCATGCAGTAAGACTCATTCCCTGTATATATTGATCCAGTGTTACTACAGGAGGAAACTGGAGTGTCTTACTGTCAGATACAGGTACATGAAGCGAAATTATAATCAGATAACGTATTGCAGTAAAAGGACATTATAAAGCATTATAATTCAATCATTGAAAATTTTCTTACCTAAAGCTGAGATAGCCAACACAACTCCCAAAGCGAGTAAAATTTTGCTGAACATACTGTGATCGTTTCCAAAACTAAATCAAAGACAAAAACAAATTCATATATCAGTATATCTGTCGGTACAATTCTATAAGAAGATTGAGACACATTTTGGAACATAATGTAGTATAAGTCCAAATAATTTTGCTTTTCATGGGTCGAGAACGATGTATGATCCATGAGCAAGATAGAGGAAAACAGCATACAATAAAATACAATATATGTGACTTTCAATATTATAACCAGAAAACTGCGAATGGAGAGATATTCAGCTACCTGAGGCCGGTAGTTCAAACTTGGGTTGTTAACCCAAAGTTCAAAGCAGACTTCCTCACAGTTTGTCATAAATTTGGAAATATTTCTTCAGAGATCTTGTCAGGATCGATAGGAGTTTACTTCTCTGAAGTTTTGAAATAAACAAACTAAAACAGCAGGTTAAATTGTAACCTATATATGGTTAGCGCTAACCCAAATACGCCACGGCCTATAGCACAGACAGTTCGATTCAATAATAAACCCACCAATTTCCAAAATGATAAGTTTCGGAAAGTATGCTTAATGGTCATCATGTCTTACAGTCAAATATCCGATTGGCAATCACAGATGCTTTACGCCTCTTGTTTTTTTATAAATGAATCGATATATAGTTTTACATATTAAAAGTAAATTGAAAACTGTTGTAGCAACGATAAAGAAAAATTAACCTATAGCCCAAAAATGAACTTAGCTTTAAATTGAGATAATATAGACTTTGATAGAGCTTACCTTTGAAATTCGTCAGAAAACCTGCTTGCAACCTTGACTGTGGTTAAATTGATAAATCAGGACATTTCAGCTGTACTTAAATACACTGCAGGCAGGAAGACAATTGCATAATTCATTTATGGAATCTCGTATAGAATTTAATTCACCAATGCATATTATCTGGAGGTAGTTCTGTTATACGCAGATGGGAATGACGTCACTTGTCATGCATTGTCATTAATTGCAGGTTAACACAAAAGCGCCTATTTTCTTCCCTGCGTCACTAATTGGCACTTAACCAACCACCAATGCATATTTTCCGGCGGTAGTTCTTTTTTTATTAACTTTACAGTCATATTATATAAAAAAAATACACATACAGCTATGATTGAAGGATTGGACAACAGAACTAGAATCCCGTACTAAAGGCTGATTTCCACTGTTGCGTTTTTCGTATGCACGTACACGCACGTAAAACTTTCAATCTTTCTATTTTTAAAGTATTTTACAAATAAGTTAACAAATGCATACTAAAACTTGCGGAACACTAAATTCTGTTGCTTTATTTATTTGGTTATTTCATAAGTAACATTTAAACGGATTTAAAGTTTTACGTGGGTATACGCACGTATGAAAAACGCAACAGTGGAAATCAGCCTTAAGTCCATCCATCTAACACTAACACACGACATATTACGGGCCACAAACTGGATTACTGTGAAATTACTGGTCACGCAGATCATGGAAATTACGTAAATGACCTCGTGGTCTGAGCTTCTCTCGAGTGTCATTGCTGTTTTTGAATAGCTGGAAGGCTAGTGTCATACCTTACTATGTGACTACTCACTCTCCAGCTATTCAAAAACAGCATTGACATTCAAGAGAAGCTCAGATTGAACCTCCACTCATGCATTGAGTGTGAGTGAGCTTTTAGAATACGGGCGTTATTGTTCCAAAAATAGAATATCTTTCCAAACATGAATCTATCTTTGACGTCAGTCGAATGCAGCACTTGGAAGACTTATTGTCTTGTTGGATGAACATTTTGAATAAAAACAAACCTGATACAACATTTTCTGACAGCATGCAGGCAAGACTTACTCAGTGTCTTCCAAGTTACTCAGTTTCTCTCTTGGTTATCATGGTGCTTATTTAAGGCCCTGTCACACTATTGCGTATCGTCCTAGCGTATGCCAGCGTATGAAAAATATCACTCATACGCTGGAAAACGCTGACATACGCTAGGGGTACGTTAGGCATACGTTGTATACGTTTCAAGCACGGTCGCATACGGTGGCATACGGCGAGGCAGAAAATTTTTTTTAAGCATGTTCAAAAATTTTTTGCGTATCGAACGTAAGCTTTATACGGTAAGCATACTCTATAGGCACACGCTGAATACGCTAGAGGTACGCCAGATGTACGGTACTCATACGCTGGCATTTCAAAGGATTTTTGTGCGTATGAAAATTATTTCATTAATTTCCATACGCTTCTCATACGTTTTTTTCATACGCAATAGTGTGACAGGGCCTTAAACCAACATTTGAACGATTCTATATAAAGAGAGGCTCTCGTATTTGCTAAATAAGTTATGCGGTAAACTAATCCAGGGTACGGTAGTTGTTATTGGTTCAATCGGTTCCCCATTTCAAGTTTTCGAAAATTTCAGATGATCTAATTTCATAATTTGCACCTGTTGGCTGTTATTACTCGAAGGAAGGTCGTAAACTGTTTTAATTAATTACCATTTTCCCCAGCTTATTCCAGTTTTTTCTAACGGACCGTATCGCTAACCAAGTTATCAGTTCATAAAACCACAGTGTTATTCTTTAAATCGACGTCAAAATACGAAATTTCGGCACGCTCCTTGCCAGCTTCGTGTTAACCGTGCAGACAGAAAAAAGGGACTGGAACTGACATCCAATAGCTCTGCAATGGACCATTTGTATTATAGACTAAATTTTGATCTAAACACGTCTAGACAAAAAGAGTCTAGACAAAAACGTCACGACAGCTTGAAAGAGCATCACAAAATTAGTAATATTCCAAAGTTTCGTTGCGAAATGTTGTAAAATGCGGATAATACAGCCTTGCGAAGTTTGCCGTTTTTCGGTCATTTTGTATTCATTCAAACAGGAAATTGACAGCCCAATCGGGTGTTGGAGCATCAATTTCCTGTTTGTAATCTAAAATGACTGAAAATTGCAAACTTCGCAAGACTATATTATCCGCATTTTACAACATTTCGCAACGAAACTTTGGAATATTACTAATTTTGTGATGCTCTTTCAAGCTGTGATGAAATTTTTGTCTAGATTTGTTTAGATCAAAATTTAGTCTATAATGCAAATGGTACATTGCCGCCATCTTGGCTTCACTCTTTGGAATCGATCGAGTTCTCGCTCCAGATTATATATGGAGCTCTTTGGAGTTAACGAGCCTTATAGCCTCTACCGCAAATCAGCCAATTAGCGTCGTGCACCAGCGCAGCGTTGTACCACTGTCCACAACAAAAATACTATACAATGCTATTGTACAGCCTTATTTCGATTATTGCAGCCCGTTATGGGATAATTGCGGAATTGGCCTCAAAGATAGGTTGCAAAAATACCAAAATCGTGCTGCAAGAGTAATTACTGAGGAAACTTACGATATTCGGTCATCTGAGTTACTCGAGAATCTAAACTGGAAACCTCTCGAAGAAAGACGAAACTACCTTAAATCGATTTTCATCCATAAAATTTTGAATGGCCACATCGTACCCATGCAATCTTAAAGAAGCATTTCAATAATAATGACCACCTATGCCGAAAAGGGAATTCGGCAAGAGGTGCTTCAGTTATAACGGTGCCTTGCACTGGAATAATTTCCCCATGAGGCAAAAATTACTGAATCCTTAAGCTATTTCAAATCAATATTAAAACAAAGAATGAGTTGAAACTGGCTCGTGTATGATCGTGTAATCGTATTTTTTTGTTCCCTTTCCTGGAATCTTGTCTTATTTTATCTTTTTTCATATTTCTTTATTTTTTGTAAATAGTTAATTCTATATTTCATGCCCCTCATGGAAATCAGCCTCCTAACGCTTGTTGAGGCTAGCGTGGTTAAGTAATCTTCATCCTGCATTGCTGGAACATTCTTGGGTCTGTTTGAACGTTTGCTGAAAGATGTTGAAACGGTTTTACGTCATTCAAATTTTTTACCCAACATCCTTGAACATGGTGAGACGATATTGGAATGTCTTAAATAGTCCTTAAACATATACGTAAACGGAACATCCGAGATAGAAGACTGGACGTCGTTGGTCGAACTTCCTCGTTTCGTGAAATTTGAATCGAAACTTTTTATTATTTTAAAGGAAAACATGCACACTTAAATCTGCCGAGAAACTTATTTTAAAGATCATTGTTTCGCAAGTTCAAATCAATTCACATTAACTCCGATATAGCAAGTCAAGTCACAAGTTATTTTGTCTGTGACCATGCATGCATGCAAGCCACTTAAGTCGTAAGGCCATGAAGTGAAACAAAGAACTTAGCTCATTAACATTAGGTTCGGCGCATGAAAAGTTTGACGTTTGACTCTGGCCTAAGTCATTCTGTACAGTTCACTTTACCATGAACTATAGGGAGTCACCCATGACAATTATATATTATTATAATATAGCATTTGTAAATTCTGAACGCTGATTGGCTAAGAGCCGTGTTGATATAACTCAATGTCAACACGGAAACGTCGGGAAATTTCTTTCTTTATGTTTCATTGTGCTATATTATAAAACAAATATAAAACATTTTTTCCGTATTGATATACAGTTATATCAACAC